TTTGATACTTATCTATATAAACATAAGTTGTATTTGAGAAAAGGGGGAACTGGAAGAAGGAAAAAGAGACAAAAATAACAAATATAGGATGCGAGTCTTCGATTGAGAGGAGGCTGCATCTTGCCGTATTTCGTTCAGTTGATGGTTTCCATAGAACTTAATATATGCATTTCATTGTTGTATACTTATATATAATATATAAGTAAGTTCTCAAATTTCTAGAATGTATTGCCATGGGACTTTATGTATAATATATAAATATAAGTTCTAAACCATTTTCGTTCAGGTGAGTTTACTATATAATACTAATAGAAGACCCGTGCGTCCGCACGGGATCCACGGAAAAGTTAATTTTTAATATAAGAGCATTTGTTAAATAGAAATAACAAAATCAAAATGATCATAATTTCACAGTATTAATTGTGAAAATATTCAACTGTTTTAAAATATATTGACAGTGTGTAACATAATTGGAATATGTTCAACATAGAATAAAAAAAATAATAATAAATCTTTGATTCTAATAATACAGTAAGCCTTGTTAGAAGCAATTGAAGAGATTACATAACCTACAAGCATGATAAATAAAATGAGAATTAGAGAAATGTTCTAATTAGAAAAGAGAAAACATTATTTTGACCTTGAAAAAATGACTTACATTTGCATGGTGACATTTGTATTATTTCTTTAAAAATGATGGTGTGTGAAAGCTTAATAAAGAAATGTAGGTGTTAGGAAATATAGCAAACAAAAAAAGAGAATTTTATCAATAAAGTTAATAGTTTAAAGAAATAGTAAAAATGTACCTAGATGATGTTGTGAAAAACTTCTTTGAAGACAACATTTGTTGTTCGAGTTAGGGAGTTGTTGTCTTTGTCATGTATTAAGATTTTCAATCCAGCTTTACTCTTAACTCTTGAAATAGCAACATAGAGTTGTCCGTGACTGAAAATATTCTTGGGCAAATATAAACCAACATAATCTAATGATTGCCCTTGAGATTTGTTGATTGTCATAGCAAATGACACTATAATTGGGAATTGTCTTCTGATAAGTTTAAATGGACATGGAGATTGAGAAGGAGACAAAGACATTTGTGGTATGTAAATAGTGTTTCCAATATTTGTACCTGAAATTATCTTTGCTTGTATTACATAGTTGGCTAACTTAGTAACTGTCAACCTTGTACCATTGCAAAGCCCTTCTGATTGATCCAAATTCCTTATCAACATGATGGTTGTACCAATTTTCAATTTCAATGAATGGTTAGGCAAACCAGAAGTTTTAAGATAACTCAAGAATTCTGGTGTCAAATACTCGAAAGCATAATTATCATTTGTTTCTGATCTATCAATGGAATCACAACTCAAATACTCTTTACATTCACCTCATGAAAAAGAATGATTATTAAGGTATAAATATTTATATATTTGAAACAAAAAGAGTATACAACTCTTAAATATCATATTTAATAGTCCAACTTCACTAAAATACACATTTTTAAAGAAAAGAGTATTCATGTATCAGACATAACTAATAGAGATTAAAATATACCTGGAAGAAGATTAGTTATGTAGTCATTAATGTCGTCAACAATTTCAATAGTTGATGCTAGAATTGCTCGACATTGAAGGAAATCTGGATTTGTATAATTTTGAAGTAGATTTTGGATAGGTACTTGTAACAATTGCCTCTATTGGATCCACAAAATCTCTAATGAGTAGCTCTTTAGGAATATCTATTTCAACATAGCCATCATTGGGTTCTGAGACTTTCCCATTGCCAACTTGTAAAATCCAATCTGAGAATAGCCTAACTTCTTCTGAATTGCTTAAATTAGGACCACTTTGCAATCTCATATTTTTGGTTAGATTCAAAACTTTACAATGATCCCAAATATATGATGCATTTATTGTTGCATGGACAATATCAGACCTAGTACCTCTTGGTACAACAGGTAAAATTTGTCTGAAATCTCCACCAAAAATTACAACTTTACCTCTAAAAATTTGTTGACATTCAACATTGTCATCACTCATTATATCCTTCAATGACTTGTCAAGAGCTTCAAAACAAAACTTATTAGCCATAGGTGCTTCATCCCGTATAATGAGTTTTGTTACCTTTAAAAGATTAGCAAGATCTGATTTTTTCTCAATGTTACAGATGGAAGATTCCAGACATGGAACTGGAATTTTGAATTTTGAATGTACAGTTTTCCCACCTGGTAACAACAAACTTGCTATTCCGCTAGATGCTACATTTAACACAATATCTCCTTGACAACGCAAAGCAGCAGAAAGTGTGTTCCACATGAAAGTCTTTCCAGTCCCACCATAACCATATAAGGAAAAAAACTCCATCATTTTGATTTGTGACAGCTTGCATAACTTGTCTAAAAATTTCATGTTGTTCATCTACATTGAAAAAGAACACACCATCAAAGTTGTTACATTAGCAAAGTTTAAATGTTCAATTCCTGTTAGGAGGTATACCATAACCATTACCATATAATGAATATCATGAATATATAATTACTAAAATCTACTCCATGAACAGTATAAAATAGATATCGCTTATGTGTTTAACTTGATGAGAATGAAGATGAACAACTATTATAGAAGGCTTAATAAAGCATAAAGTAATATTATTGAAATAATAGTAAAATCAATACCCGTTAATTTTTGAAATAGATTGTGGTAAATATATTCTTGAGCCTTGATATCATATTGTCTTTCATCATATATCAATCTATTTCCAAGAAACTCAAGGACATAATTATTTGGATATGGCATTGGCTTAAATTCTTTCAAACTTCTTCTATTTTTCTGCAGCTGCTTCTCAATTTCCATCAAAGTGAGTTGTTGAATATCTTTATCTGACAAAGTTAAATCTACAAAAAAAATAAACGTTAAGTAATGAAAAAATAATATTGAATAAAAGTATTGTAAAAGTGTTGTAGAAGTGAATAAAAGTGTTGTCAACAAAAGTGTTGTAAGCAATAAAATGGAGGCGATAAAATATAACTTATTGTGACATAGATATAAAAAATATGTACTAATATAACCTGGATTTTGTGACAATAGTCTTTGTTCATATAGAATTCCATCTGATAAGTATATCCAAGTGTAAAGCCAGACATGTTCTGGTTGATTCAATGAAGCTGATAATAACATTGTAACAAAAAGTTTACGCAAAAATACTCCAGAACCCCAGTTATAAGCTTCTTTAATTGCCTCAATGAACTCTTTGTCATCTTCTAGGAAGCCCAATGCAAAACATGCTTCTCTAAAAGAATTTTGCTTGAACCCCTCAATTGTCTTTAATTCATCATAAGATCTTGGCCCTTTCTTCACAGTCAACAACATCCTCATATAATACAATTCTCCGGTCGTTGATGGGACCCAAATGAGTCGGCCAATTGTGTAACCTCTTTTACGTGGTTTCCAACACCTTTTCCTCTTGTCATATACAAATTTTGACACAAATTGTCCATATGTTAAAGACCTTGCTTCTTCATATTGGCTATTTGCGAGAAACCAAGAAGTAAACATTGATTATGTGACACTTGGTTTAAGTAGGAGAGTACCTATTTGCTCAAAATCTTTGTAGTACACAGAATTCTCTCCTTCCATGTGAAAAAATAATCTTTCAACAGCTGGTTTTCTACCATGAATTGAATAAGAGAAGATTCTCCAGCAAGCTTCACTTGGTGATACATATCTACAATCAAGGTATTGCTTGATTTCATCAGTATTTCCATCTTGACCAATGTTATTTTGAACGATAACAGCCGAGATCCTATTAGAACCCTTGTTGATGTATTTGAAAAGATATTTAATTGACCTACTTTGATTGCACCACTCCATATTTATATGTGCCTCATATTTCATCAGCAAACTTGGATTATGGGGTACAACATGACCACTGTGTAGTGTGACTCCGTTTTTCTCAAATGTATTACCTTGATCTCTCCTTCTATAAACTGGATATCCATCTTGGTCAACAATTGTGACATCTTGAAATTTCTTAGGATAGTACTTGGAACACTTACATCTTTCATGCAAGGGCATTTAGGATTTTGTAAACCACAAGGTCCATGTACCATGTGGGTTTTCACCAGATTATACAGTCTTGGATGTTTCAATGGATCGGGAACTTCAACAGAAATGATTTTGTCTATGTCTTCAGGAGCGGGATATTTATTTGATGGATGCAAGAAAATAAGAATGTGTGCATGTGGGAGACCCCTTTTCTGAAATTCAATTGTGTACATATCTGAAAATATTTTCAAATGTTAAAAAAATAAATACATATGAGAATTGGGTAAATAAGAATGTGTGCATGTGGGAGACCCCTTTATGTGTAAACATTGGATAAAGTAAAATGCTAGCAAAAAAGAAATGGTAGACTTACTTGCGAGAACCTTGCCTAAAACACCTTTCTTTGTCACGTCCGCTAGGAGGTTATCAAACTTCATTTTAAATATTCTAGCAATGATATCAAGTCTATCATGTGGCTTCAAATTTAGAGGACCAAGCAATCTTTGAATTTTTGGCCAATTTGGGTTGCATGTGAATGTAATGAAAAGATCTGGAAATCCCACCTTACTACAAATTGCCATGCCATCATAGTACAACTAATCCATAATCATCTACTCCCCACATAAGATGATGGTAATATGACTCTTTTTCCTATGCTTGACCCATGTGTTTGTTCTTGCTCTACATTTAGACTTGAATACTTTGACACTCTTAGTTTGGACTGATTTTTCCTAATCCATTTCAATCTCTCTCCTTCAAGCATTGCGTAACCATCCACCAAAAACTGTTGGAACAATCTTCTAGATGATAACAAAGTCTTTGCCTCAATGCACCTACTTTGGATTCTAAATGCTATCCATTCTCGAATAGTTAGTCGGTTCCTTTGATTGTCATCAAAAATGTCAAGATCTCTGTGTGCAATGGCATCTCTATATCCATCCTCTCCATAAGGAAAAATCAAGGGATACTGGTAAGACAAGTAAGCTGGATGAAACTTATCAATGCGTTTAAGTTGCCCCCTTTGGCTTGCACTATAATGTCTCTTTCCTCAGTAGTGTCAATGTCACCAACAATTAAAGCTTCCACTTCAGAAACAGTTGGTTGATTGTACAATCTTCCATCAATAGACCTAGTTGAAATCAATTTGAGTTTTAAATTATGAACATTGTTGTGATTGAGCCACTGTCTAGCCATTAAGAAACTTTTGGCATGTGTGTTATGTGTATATAACATATCTGACAACTTTTGTATAGTCTCGGGCAGGATGTTGTTTTTGTTTCTACAACAATGACAAAAAAACTAATTAGTGTGCATTATAACGATAATAAGATATAGGTAAATAAACATGATGTTTGGTTACCTGAGACCGTCCATTCTATTTGTAACTTCATTTTCAATGTCATATATGTAAAGTTGGGCAAATTTAGGTGGATGTCCTTCTGGTGGTAATAAACTACCAATTCGGTGGCAAGCTTGTCCTTGGATTCTAATAGTAGGTGGGCCACGACCATTATTAAATCTGTTGTCCAACTTAGCTCCTGGTGAAGTGAAAGCAAACATCATGTTGTATGTCCTTATTTGTGACTGGAAATTCTTACTATCCATGGCATTATGATCAAACAGAAGATGTGATAAAGGTTGTGGTGGATGTTTTAAAAATGGAAGTTCGACTTTACCATTTCCACAATGTAATACCCCAAATTTTACCCTTACATTTAGTCAGTCATTTCATATAACATCTCATCTGTGCATCTGCTAACCACTATCAGGTCATGGAGGTGTTTGTTTTGCAGGATTGGTTCCAGGGGTATTTTGGTCATTTTACGTGGGTTCCGCTAATTCCTTGAAGACGGGCTGTTACTGAGCTTTGAGACACTTGAGACACTATTTCTGAGGCAGTTATTTATCACCTGGTTTGATTATATCAAGGCGCCAATTCGATGTGTTCGGTATTGAAATTTGTCGGGCACAACTGGATTTAAGATCCATTTCTTCGCGCATGGGTTTGTTTCCGGAACACTTCCGTTTATGTTAATAAGGCACAGTTTAATTGGGTATTATTGGATTGTTGCTCATAGCATTTGGTCAGTGGAATTCAATTACGGGCAATGTCATCGTTGAATCTGTTGTGATTACGGCGCGCATCCGTGTTTGGTTATAAAATTGTTGGCTAGAATCTAAGTTGGAATGCAAGTGAATGTAGTTAGGTGATGAGATTGGGAATACAAACGAGACAAGTGCATGAATAAGAATATCATTCGTGAATAGTTATGATTTATGACTAGAATAATGAATTTAAATATTTGTGGATTTATTCACAAATGTTTGTAATTTATAACTAGAAATAAATATAAATAGATTCAAAGTTGAATGATCATGGATATAAATGAAAATTTTGGGAATTTTTATTTCATAAGAATATCATTGTACAAAAGGAGTTGAATCATTTCACATTTGAATAGTTGTAAGGTTACATCTACAGATATTACATTTACTCTAAAAAATCCTAGGTCCTAAAAAACTCTTGGTTTCTTCATTTGGTCTCCCCTTGAATTCTTCACTTCTTGATTACCTGAAAAAACAAAGACAAAACGAACAGAATAGGAAAGATTATAATTTATGTTTGACACTCTCAGAACATCGTCATCATCGAGTGCCGGGAGTGGCACAACCGAAGCTGCGTCCTACCCCCGTTACCGATCCGCGCCATTAGCGTCAGATCAGGTAACATCTGTTCTTATCTAAGGGGCAACCGAGAGATGAAGAGTAAAATGAAATGGGGACCGAAATGATTTGCCGAAAAGGATCGTATGCCGAAATTGGATTTGTAAAGCCAAACTAATCATAAACTGGATATGTTTCAATTGCAAGAACAATTCAGTTCAGTTTATAAACGAGGCAACTTGGTATCAAAAAAATAACTGAATTCGAGCTCAACTTCCAGAAACGGATAACCGAACAATCCATGAAACCAGCGCATTCACAGCATCTGCCAAAAGGAATCAAACAGTATCAGAAGTTGGCATAACAAAAGATATTCCAAAACTGCATCAACTCTGAACCACATAAGTGAGTTCGTGAAAGTCAAATCCCAAATATGAACAGAAAGTAAAAGCTGATACTAATCCTTATCAGAAAAAACAGGGTAGAAACCAACTGGATCACAAACTGCTACCAAGAGGCAGGCGAAACCATGTCCTTACCAGAAGAGTCAAGTTCAAACAGAACAGAAAAATGAAATACAAACCAAACTGCATCAGACAACTAGTGTCAGCACAAGAAACATCACACATCATACCAGAAAAAGCGAGGTAGGGTCATAATCATGCTCGCGCGTCAATTTAATTATAAGCCTCAACCAAATATGGTGATATTGGAAAACCAAAATGCAAAGCCGAGGCTCAGTCGGAACATCATTGCCCCAAACTCGCTGCCACTATCAAGTAAATGTCTCGAGGCAACATTAAGCAAAATCCGGATTCACAATTGGACACGAATGTCCAAGTCCGAAACTGGTTCAGAAAATTGCAGCACCTGAAAATCAGAGAACCAAGTCCGTTAAAATCAGAAGTAACACCAGAAGGTTCAGACTCTAAGGTCATCATCACCGAAACCGAAAGCAACATAATCGAAAGCGACATAATCAAAAGCGACATAATCGAAGGCAGCATAATCAAAAGCAAGGACTGTAGTATCTTTTCCAAACGGCTCAGACGAACTGTCATCATCGCCGCACAACCCTTCCCGGCGGCATCGACCCGACAATGTCCATCCTAAAAGAAGAAGAGGAAAATAAGTGAATTCCAACTGATAACCAAACTGAACGAAACAAGTTCACAAAAAAAAAACCATATCAGTTCAGAATGCGAGTGAATCCACAAAACAGGTATCGATTCATTAAGGCTCAGCAATTGGATATCCACATTGTGAACAAGGGATCCCATTCCACATCTGAAAAATAAAATCCAAACATCAGAAGCAATCAATCTCACCAAAATCCAATCAAGCGGACCCTAAAAAGGAAAATCTCCAGTCAATCCAAAACGGGCTCAATTAAAGGATCTCAATCAGAAGATCATATCATATTGTGCAAATCGCTTCCGAAAACGGAAGGTTTTTGAGATCAAATCAAACCTTTCACAAAAGGGTAAATAATATCAGAAAAATTTGAATCCAAAGGCCCATTCAAAATCGAGAGAGGAGAGTATATAAGAACAACATCACCTCGAACAAAAGGCTGGTGGCCGCGAGAGAGAAAGGGGCTAAGGTTCAAAAAAACCCTAGACGGAGAATATAAGAAGCGACGAAGAAGAACAGATCGCGAAACCCTAAACGAACAACCATCGACGGCCGTGAATCTGGACGGGGAAAAGCTTCGAGCAAAGACCGCCTTCGTCTCTCGACGGGCAATCAAACCCCAAGGCTCAGACTAGCATCATCGCCATCTGCGCAACGTTTGTCAACGATCACCACCAAAAATCCGTCTCAAAACGTAAGCATCGCATGCATAATATTTCAAATTTGATGTTTTGATGTTTGTTTCAGGAGTTTCAATATAGAATGGGGACAACGAAGACGAAGAGTGAAAAACAAGGGAAACAAAACGGGGAGAAAGTACCGAAACGGCGCCGCGAGTGTGATAACAGGGTTTCAAACCCTAAAAAACCAATTGCCCTTTTTTTGGCCATCTGTTTGATGAGCCGGGTTGGGTCCGGAAGTGATTACCGGCCCAACCCCTTTTATTTTTCTTATTTTTCATTTTAATTAGTAGTTGGAATTTTAATAAAAATTTTTATCAAATATTAAAATTGTTTTAAAAATAAATAAAAGAAAACTTTTTTTCATATAATAAAATAAAAAAACTTTTTTTTAATAAATAACTTAAAATCTTTTTTTTAAAACTTTTTCTCAATAAATGGAAACTTTTTTTTTTTAGATTAAATTTAAAATATTTTTTAAATTAACATTATTCTTTCTTTTATAAATTTAATTAATACTTTTTCTTTAAAAACAACAAAAACCTTCAACATTGCACTCTTGTCTCATGACTCGTCCAATTACCGTCTAACTTCGCCCATTAACGCGTGTGTTCATTTTGCAGCTTATTACATTGTGTTTTATTGAAGTTTCATCGATATTGTAATTGCTTCTCGGTTGTAACCTCGCGAATCAATAATCGCGTTTACGTTTCTGCTTTTAAAATTCTGCTGCTTGCATGATTCAAGTCTCACACATTCATCAATTATTCTGTCACATTACACACATCCGAAGGTTAGGTCTAGCTTTTGGTCGCCGCGCCAATAGTCCTCAACTTCAAACCCTTACAACTCTTACAAACCCTAATTTTCACAAATGCCTCGCCGCAGGCAAAATTACAATTTTACCCTTAGCATTAGGTCAAAGAGCCGCCGCGCTCATTTTAGGGTTTCCCGCCGTGGAATCCCTAATTTAACCCTAATTACAACTTAACAATTCAACGTAGAGATTTGGAGTTTCTACACTCCGCGTAAGCGTGTCCTTAAGATGCGTTTATTCCCTTTGAGACCTTGGCCACAGTCAAGACGTTTCTAACCTCCCTTTTGAGGGGAACTACGATTACTCTGATTCCACTCCCGTAAGGATACGTAGGCACAAGATGCGATGTCTTGCCGAGTAAACTTAGAATTAACCCCTTAGGTCTCTTTTCTCACTTTTAATCCTTTGTACATATACCTTAAGCAAATAAATAAAGCAAATAGTAAACATTTGAACAAAAGGTTCCTGTAGAGTACTACAGAAGTTTAGGGTGCTAATACCTTCCCTAAATTTAACCAACCCCCGAACCCTAGATCTTTCCCCGCATTGTGTTTACGATGCAAAATAGGTTTTCCCTCTTTTGACCTTTTCCTTCGGATAAATCAAAGAGCGGTTGTGAATTGAATTGCGATTCAAACTAATTAATAGTTTGTGATCCTATTTCCACCGCAACAGAAAATGGCGACTTCACTGGGGAATGACGCCTTAAACTTTTGAGGGTTATCCCTAACTTGTTCATATTTATTACTATCTGTTTTAATATTCATTTGCATGTATATATTGTACTCTGATTTTGGGACTGTTCCTTGTGTTGTGAGATAAGTCCTACGCCCGGACTAGTGACATTATTATAGGATGGGGATATATTCGATGAGGCTTATAGGGAGTTGAATCCCGACCAAGCTGATTCGAAAATCACCGCTCAGTTGAGACCCTTTCGAAAATGGTTCGGTTGAACGAGTAATCGTTGAAAACTTTTTCCATGGTCGATTGGAGTCCGTGATATTGAGGACCGTAGTACCTTAACACCACCTTGGCCTTATTTAGGACGTAGTGCGGGAGCTATGTGGGAGTAATCCTACAACGGTTGCTACGCGATACTACACTCAAAAGAGGTTCTCTTGAGAATATTATTAACCCCCGAGTCAATCGGAAGGTTGATAATACCCGAAAGATGGGCTGATGACTTTGGGCACTTTTTAGAACCTTGTTCTGCAGGTACAACTAACCTATAGTACACTCCTCTTTGGGATGGGTAGACCTTAACTCCGCTCACATACCTTTAACCTAGGACTTTGTGTGTTTTCATG